ATCCAGGTTCGCCTGTATAGATCAATTTGATTTTTTTCGATTCTCATGGATTGGGATGAAAAAACTATGAAAACAGTGGTAAGCCACTTCAAATAGTGATAAATTCTAACGAACGAGGTAAAAGCATTCGGTTTTGGTTCGCCTTGGTGTTACTACTAAGGTCGAAATAATAAATTATGATAATCATTTTTAAATAGCCAATAAAAATGTCAAGAGAATATTAATTAATCACTGTAATTAAAATAACATTAATAACATTACCTGTATGTTGAAGCACCTTGAAGATAACACTGATTGCTATTCACTATGTAAACTCAATAATAGAATTTGTTTGCATAAGACAAACAATTTCTGAACACATCTTCGCAGTTACTGCAGAAACAAACAACCACAGTCCAAATAATCACGCCTACAACTCAGACGGGTTGGCAGAGATGACACAGAGTGGCATTTACATTTCAACTCTCGCTTCATCCACATTCATCAGCGCATATACGCTAAGGAAGAATCTCTTCCTTTTCCATAACTGAATCTTACTAATATTCGATGCGAATATCTTGATGGATGTTTGTTCCTAGGTATTTTCGGAACGGCTCAAGGGATCCCGGAGAAATTTGGCATAGATGTAGAACATAGTCTGGAAGAACGGATAGGCTAATTAAGGTTATTTTAATCGGCGCAGACGAGGACGCGTAAGAAAGTTTTCATAAATTAATATTGAAATCAGAGAAAGCCGTAGGTGAATAATTTACCAAAACTTGTAAAAGTAGCTGATTAAAGTGAAATTTGAACATTGAGGTCAAGGACTTTGACCCAATGGGATAAATGAACCTCGATTTGAGGTCCCGCCTATATACTTGATAATATAAAGAAAGTACCAGTCGACCCTTCGAATTTCTGTACTTCTAAACACTCCATTAATGTTTCTCTCCATTATTCTATGTTGCGTAGAGTAACCGCATACAATCATAACATATTGCGCTACTCAGTATTGACTTTTAGTCACTACAGAAGACTTTTAGTGTAAATTTTGTATGAGAAATATACACTAAGTAATAGCGAACGAAGTAGTTAGATGTTATAAGGTCTATGACGTGGGTCACTTATTCGATTCCCAATTGCGATTTTTTTTTCATAAGTTTTACATGTGTGAGACCCAAAATCGCTCAATGATAAGTTTGAGATGAGAAACAATGAAAATGACACTTTAAAAATCTGCTAGTTAAAGTACATTAATGAGGGAAATCGTTATTAATGACATTCCAAAAATCATGACAGAGTGTATTTGTAACAAAAATTAATACAATATTCCTTACCTTCATCATCCTTGTCGACACCGAGGATGTAAGCGCTTCTCAAGAGGTGACCCATTTTTCAAACCGTTACGATGCTGAATTTGCGCAAAAATTTAAGTGTACAAGGCGATTTTTAAGGCGTTCCTTTTCTACATAGATTTTGACTAATAGCTACTCAATTACTATACTACAAAATAAGAAAGAAACTCTTATAAACTACGATTACATTGACTACCGCACTAGTCGGCTGCAAGTTATTCGGCTACATCTCTGCTGCCGTGAGATGTATCAATTTGCACTTTTGCTGTCGAAGAAAGCCCGCTCAATGTATTTCGTATCGTTACCACTTCGCAAATGATGTAAACTGAGCGCTAACCGAAATTATAGGTTGCGTTAGACGGTGGAACAAGGAAAACTATAGACTCGCGTTTTGCGTATTTTTCCTGTAATCTCTTGAAACTATTTGAGATGAGACAATTTAATTATTATGATATTTTTTATTGACCGATGATCAAATAACCAGTTAATTGTAAGTAATTTTATAAGGAATGGAAATAAAAATTATGTAGGTACTTTATGAAACAACTAGACAAGAGAAATTCCTTATAACTTTAAGACATATAAAAATATACTTGGTTGATTAAATTATTCGATTACATTTCAACAATTCGTTAATACTGTAGCTACTATTGTTTTCAGACAGTTATGTGTCTTTAATATTAAAAAATATATATAGGCAATAATTCTCCATACATTCTACTTTTCCAGTCGAGAATATTGACTTAACTATGAAACAATGGAGCTATCTACGTACTCGCAGTCGCGACGAAAGCAAACAATAATTCTCTTAGTACGCAAAATGCTACCGTATACGATGTACTTGAATTTGTAGCAAATACAATCCAACGAAAATAGTTACATATCTTAAGAGATCACGTAAGCAATTATAACTCTTTTCATAAGATGGTTATGTGTTTATGCAGTTTTAATCAAACTGCGTGTCATAGTAATAAAGCGTTACCGTGATGCAATGGTTAACATGTACCCAATGGTTACAAATTGACGTCATATATAAAATCACGATTTCTTATTTACAGAATTATCTTCAATTTTGCGTGCTTTATTTACATATGTTTAAGTGATCTTTTTTTGATGACCCTATTTCTTTAAAAACTTACCTATGTACATTAGGTACCTGTGGAAAGGTTGCATTTAACTTATCATTAGCAAAGAAAATAAATAAAAATAAACTTAAAAAATAATCTTCATACCTAAGTCCTGTGAATTAAATTTCCTATCATTTATCGCTAGACATTAGATATAAGCCACACAAATGTATAATACCGTAAAATGAATATATTGCGGCGACACTGATATATTACTGAAATCCAATTGCGTCTAGGGCCAAACAATTTGTCACGAATATCAAATTACACGTAACGATTTCAAACTGTCATGTTTGTATGATGAATATTCATATTAATATTGTATTTATATTATTATACATAAACTATAAAACTATAATTTTTATGGGAAAGATTTTTTTATATCATAAGGCGGCAAACGAACAAGCGGCCACCTGAAATCGCTGAAATAGCGAAGTGACCGTTGCCCATAGACATACGCAATTGCATATGCGTTGCCTACCTTTAATCGACGGAAGAAAGGATGCACAGAGAGAAAATATTTTCCCTTTCCATGCATCCTCTCGTCCGGAAAGTCTCTCGGTGGAAAGGGAAAGAGGACTAAATTTGGCCTCCAGGACGCACACTCATCAGACGAAACGCGGAATTGCTTCCAGTTCACGCCTGTCTTCTGTGTGGTCGTGGTATTTCAACGGACGAGCCGTGCCTATTTGTGCGAAGATGTTAAAGCGGGCTCTACCACTGTTAAATGATAGGTTCCATTTGCAGAAGAGTCTTGGAAGAACAAAAGTATCCTCTTTTCAAAAATGGATATGGATTTCTATTGTCTGATATAAAAAAAAATTGAATTTAAGTTTGAAAAAAGTCTCGACAGGGCTGCTACCGACGGAGATGCTATGCTATGATGTTTTGCTTCGGTGACTGACTTAATCGGTCCAAGGGAAATCTAATAAAAAATTTCGCTAACATTGGGCCGATCGGCCTACCGATTAATCGGCCACACACACCCACCACTGCTGCACCAGATACAGAGATAAATCAGTTTAATCACATTGAATCTGTAAGTATTAAGTAAAAGACTTTATAGTACTTGGCTTCTAAAAGTCTGATATTCTAAACATAGTGTAAAATGTGACGTCATAGTTAAGTTGTTTTGTTAATAGTACTATCAGTAGGAGAAAAGCAGTGATAATTAGGAATATAATACTATGTTATTTTACCGTCAACATAACCAATCCTATATTTGCGGTGTAAAAGTTAATTGGGTGTGAAATGATGATGGCCGCCATCCCGCGACGCTCCTTCCTAATTCTACATTGAATTTGGGTCAATTTTCAGCAAAGCGATCATTTCGCCTCGGGAGCTGGCAGCCCTTCGCAAATCTACTTTTGCAAATTTATTTTCAATAAGCCAACATTTACTTCTATAATATAGATATTTGTATGAAAACGTGTTATACGTATAACAAATTTGAAAGTCTAATTATGGATTTATTCCTCGATTTTATATCGTATGACAAGAAGAAAATGCACCTAAATTTAATGGGACACAGCATTAAACAAATTGTAAAACTTAGTATGTAAATTAATAAAATAAAAAGATATATGTGATGTCAACCAACCCGCACTGTGCCAGCGTGGTTGACTATGACCCCTAGTCACCCCTAACTTAGGGTAAGCTCCGAGCCCCTCAGTGGGGACATATAGTGAGCTGATGATGAAAGATAATTGTTTCCGTTTTCTGATTTCTTTTAACTAAAAAAAAGTAAACTAATAATAATTTTATTTAAAAATAAACATTATGAATACTACGTTAATACGGACTATCGTCATTTCCTTTCGTGTGGAACCACTTAAAAAACACCGCGTACAATTAGATGTTTTGCTTTGTAGTTGCCATGGAGACGTAATACAAAACGTAAAATGTTTTTAAAATAGAATCGAAAACATGAAAAGGTCAAGTGGAAGATTTTGTTCGATACAAGTTTATATTTTTTAAGTAAAATAAATTAATATATTTTCTTGGTTTATTTTATTTTAATTAGGTATTAATTAACTTATATAGTCAACTTGATGCGAATAAAAATGGTTACGTTAAAAATTATACGAGAAATCGAATTACTACATTTTTTCAAAAAGTAAAAAGCTATAGTAATCGTGAGTTTCCTAGACCAAAGTCCCTGTTTGAATCATATTAGTATCCCTGTTTTTCCAAGGACAATGACAGGGATGTTTATACAGAGCTATAGTTCTTAGAAATCAACGGTAAGACATTTATCGTGTTCAAAATGAGTTTCTTAGTTTAGTTCTAGCAACACAATTTATTATTGCCAATTAGGTTGATGTCAGACAGGATATACCATAAGTAAAAGTGGACACAAAAAGAATTAACAATGTTAAACAGGCGCGGTCAGACAGTTAGCGGCCATCGTACATGCTTACGTATTTAACCCGTTCCACTTTTGCGCAATTCTCAATATCTTATTAATGGATTAGATAAATATAGGAATATACATATTTTATGTAATATTTACTACATAGCAAAATACATTGTTAGAATGTTAATAATAACTTAGTAAACTGTGACTGTGTGTGTGTGTAAAAAAATGTCGTAATCAGCCCTCGAGAATAAGATATTTCCCGTTGGACCTATAGGCCTACCGATTAATCGACCCACTTGATTTTTTACCATTGGACCGATTGATTGGTCCAACAGGGAACACCCGGAAAATAGGAGTATAAGCTTAGATTTACAAGTATCATAAAGAACTATATCTTTAGAAGTATTGTAAAGGTGAACTCCTTAGGGATTTACTTGGTTATTTAAAAACATGGTTTACTTTTATTAATGTTTATGTCTGTCCGTTTACAGTTATTAATATTTCTCACTATTATTTCATTGGTTTAAAATTATACATGTAGCTTAAAATTACGATGGTATATAATTTAACACTTAATATCTTTTTTAATACTACTCAAACCGATTTCAGCAAACATATAAGCGACAGATTCCATATTTATATACATTGTATACTCCCAAGCACTGGCATACACTTCGATCAGTTTCTCATCTCTGCAGTGTGCAATGTTTTCTGCAATAGAATTTTTTAAAAACCCCTTTTATATTATTGAAAAAATACAAAATGACATTTCGAAAATGGATTATCAATTAAACAGCAAACTTGTATTTAACTCCATCTATAGATTAAATATCTATGGGTGAGTTGATTAAGGGAGTAACTATGGAAATAAAAGATAAATTGACTGTCAACTACAGAGAAAAATTGGATAAGGATGAGAGATGATGAACTTCTTTTATACTGCCATACAAAAAGCAAGTATTATAATACTAAGTATTATATGGAGCAAGTATTATAATACTAATACTAAATTATAATACTCGCTTAATTCTATGGCATATAATTTTCAGTTCTCTCTTCAGAGGATTCCTTCTATTACCAAATTGTATACAATGTGGGAGATGTTCAGAAATACATCTCAAGTTCATTTAAATTTTTTAAGTCAACATATATTATTCTGTATGAAAAACCTACAACTTTATGTTGCATTGTATTGATTAATTTTATTAATATTATTTGATTTTTGCAATAACCTTAATTATATTCAATGTTGGCATCTTCAGCTTCTTATAAAAATATTGATCAATATTGAAATTAATATATTTTTCTAATTACCTGTAATAACTTCTTTCAGTTTAAACTCTTTGCACAATGATGTGTACATAGTCAATACTTGAGATGCAAAGTGGGGAGCTAGCCATGTGTTCATAACTGGCAAACCTGTTGAATGTAGTTTTGGTAATACTTGAACTTGCTTATTGATGATATCCACACCTGTAATAAAATAGTAATAAGTGGCACAGACGGGACGGTGTGGAGGCAGCTGGTTGACGCATCTGTAAAGGCATATCAAAACAAGCATGACCTTTAGTAATGAAGTAGGCGAAGAAGAGAAGTGGCAAAATTATTGAACTGAATAAGTCACTTTGACTGGTGAAGGACCTCATAGAATTTGTCGATTTGCCTTCGACTACTAAAAAAACGAATTAAACATTTTTGGTGTCGGATTTGTTTAAACACTATTTTAATTATACTAAAATTAAATCCATACAATATAACCCAAATTCTTAATGGCGAGAATTATTCTTTCTACATGTGACTTAAACATGTAGAATGACTTACTTTCAACTATGTCCTTTAATACATTTTTGGCTTCTAGCAGATCCTCCATTAATCTTTTTAATTGTTGTGGGTAATAATCTTCTCGGTATTCATGCAATTTTAATGCACATATTAATCTTACGAATTCCGTTCCTTTCTCAATAACTCTGAACCATTGACTTAAAAGTCGATGTATGTTAGATATCTGCGTAAAAACCGTTTTTACTATTCCCGTTGGATCTTTATTTGGCGTCATCAGTTCTGAAAGGACATATAGAAATTATTAACAATGGAAAGGTTATATCTTCCAATAGGATAAAACACATTTTATGAGAAAATACCTTTCGGGCCAAAAAATACCGAGTCTGAGTTTTTGGTAGGTGTTTTAGACATTTTGCTCTTATTTAATCAAACTTTTGTTAATTATTGATTGCGCTAATTAGTAATGATTTAAGTTAATTTGATCGCAAACAAGGTACAATATTTGGTTATTCTTAGATTATTGTTTTTTTAAATCATCTTTATAAACAATGCAATGACGTTGACATACTGACAACTTATTTTTTCCTGACACCAGAGTACAAAATATTATTTCACAAAAAATCTCTGGATTTCGTTACATATTACAGAACAGGTGTGTGAATAAATGGTATCTAAACCTTGGATAAGTATTTAAAAATCCAGTATCAATTAGATACCTAAATTCTACAAAGCTCTTTCTTATATGTACTTGTTTCATCATTTTTGTACAAATAGATTTACGAACGAGGTTTGATTTAAAAAAAATGCAAGTCAAATGTCAAACTGTCAATAGCATAACACGTCAAAGTCAAAAACACAAATTTCAACTTTCAACATAAACGCAATTTGTATTTTTCTCTGTTAGTTTGTATTAATTTACATTTATAATATTTACATTGCTGTACATAATTTTTCATGTAGATGTTCCACAAGAATCGTAGTTTAAAGTATTAATAGCTCAGTTCAACCTGTGCATTTTTTCTACTCACCAAAAATTGTGTTAATTTAAAAATTATAACAAGAGTTGTAAGACAAAATGTCGTGTCCTATACAAGATGTTGTAGAAGAAGATGCAGCCGACTTGCAGTTTCCAAAAGGTAACGATGCACACCTTTTGCATTGTAAAAATTCCTTCAATTCAGATGCTTAAATAAAATCCATTGTTTTCGTTTTAGAATTTGAAAATGCAGAAACTTTACTAATATCTGAAGTGGACATGTTGCTAGAACACAGGAAGGCACAAAATGAGTCAGCAGAGGAGGAACAGGAATTTTCAGAAGTGTTTATGAAGACATTGACATACACCAATATGTTTAAAAAGTTTAAGAATAAGGAAACAATAGCTGCTGTCAGAAAGTAAGTTCTTCTTCCTTTTTAACCATTTCACAAATTAAAAAAAATTGATCTGAAAAAAGTCAAAGAATTAGGCTTCCGACTTAGCATTGAATATTGCACAGTAAAGTATCAAATTGTAGTTTTGTATGTTTGTCTCAAGTTTTTGTCTTAATAGCAACATAAACACTTAACCTTTCTCCGCAATGGGCAGTAAATTATTTCTATGCGGACAAAGTCATACTTAAAAGCTAGTAGTTAATAACTTTCTAAAATGATCTAATAACAGTCATTTTTCTTTATCTTTCAGTCTATTACAGTCTAAGAAATTGCACAAATTTGAAGTAGCAAGTCTAGCAAACTTATGTCCAGAAACACCGGAAGAAGCAAAGGCTTTGATTCCATCACTGGAAGGTAGATTTGAAGACGAGGAGTTAAGGATTTTACTTGATGACATTCAAACCAAAAGAAGTATACAGTACTAATTTCATACAATTTAGCATTTATAAAATTAAATTTTTAAACCTGAGAAACCTTTTTTTTATTTTATAGTACATAACATAAAATGAATAGGTTGTCAGTCATCAGCTTAAGTCTATATTAAAGTAAATCACGGAGATGAGTTACTTGTTATGTGGTAAGGATACCTATATGTAGATTAGGTAATCATACAACTTGTGCATCAACCTTTATGTGGATGCCAGTCTATAACAATGTTACCTTCATCCTGCTGGAGTTTACATACTTTCTTTAACACTCAAAACTTTAGTATCATTCTTTAAAAAACCTTGTACAGTCAGATACATTAACATGGAAACATTTACAATACCTCAAAAACTTGTATATGCCTGAAGGATTCTAAAATAATAAGCTTGTCTTTGCCAACACCTAGTATTCATAGTTGGAAGTGTATGGACATGCATATATATTTTTGAATTCGAAAGTGTACATAACTTCCTCATGCTTTGTAAATGTATTCATGCAGCTAACTGTACCTCCTGATATTATTTAGGTTAAGTAATTCTGCAATTCAAATTGTACATTATGAAATAGATTGTGGGGTTGGGGTAAAATAAAAGATAAGAAATGTTAAATCAGTCTGTATATTGGATATGTCTGCAATACAGCAAGATACATTACAATGAAAACAGGTAAAAGTGATAAAATATTGGAAACAAAAATAGTAATTAGAATTTCTTCTCTGAAACAAAACTATAATAAAACCATTCTTATTATTACTTAAAATCGATACTATTATTATTTGATGTTAATTAATGCCTCTAACTGAGCGAGCCTTTTGTTCGACACCGAATGTAAAAAAACTAATTGAATTTTTTTTATCAATAAACCTCAACAATTTTTAGATAACTAAAACTCAACAATCCTTCGATAATTTCCTTATTTTCTAATTTTGTCGCCTAAACATTATTTATTAACAAAATGCCTAACAAAAGACTCGCCGGATTTATAAACTTATCTCAATGGGCACTTTTGGTTTAGTTTAAATGTTAGTATTTTAATCTAATATCGTAGTAATAAAACTTACAAACTTATTCATCTAAAAGCAAACTTGTTAACCATCTATAAAAGAACTATAAAATCTAAGGTACTAGCAAAGTTACTCTTATGGTACATTTCGCAACCTACCCTGAACATACAAAAATATGTACTTTAAAAAGTCAAGGCCGGGCGTTGGCGGCGGCACGGGCAGGCCGCCTGCGCCCGGACCTCGTGCACATCGCATGGCTCTAATAAACCAATAAGTCAGTAAGGGGACCGTTTTATAGCACACATTTATTAACATCTAACATATTTTCAGGTCGCCTAAAACTTATTAAACCTTAAATTAGGTAACGACATTCGGAAAGATAAATCCTAAATTACAACCTGGACCTGTGACGTAAATCTAAATATTGTATGTATTACGTTAGTTTAGTAAAGCATAGTAGTTGTTTTGGATCGTGTGGGGAGACTACAGGCGCCACTGAAGCAGACGACAAGCTGCGCGATCGCAACCGCACGCGCAACAAAACAATGAGACGAGACGAAGAGGGGCAAAGTAAAAAGTCGAGGGTGACGATGTACACGGTTCCCTACAATACTTCATAGTTACAGCTAGATATTGCACTTATCTGAGAAAAAACTACACAGAAATCCGGATTTTACTGAATACTGGCTCGGTTAATATTCCATATTTAATGATTTTCGATTTTTGCGCAGCGTACATTTATAACATATCCTACAGATGAATGTGTGAATTAAATCATGACATAACTGGCATTGTAATACTAATATCGTTTCCGTTGACCAACCGCGGGATTTTACGAAAACGTACTAAATCATTTGTACAATAATACGTGTCTTTCTAAGCACTGTTGTCATTTATCAAGTTAACGGAGTTGTAAAAATAAATGCGGTACAATCAGCATACATATAACTTCCACGCGTGCCACAAGCTGGCGACATTCCTCATCAGCACCAACACGCTCTACAACTTTTGCTGTCGGTACAGTCGCAGGCAGACGCCTGACAGATCACTAATAAACCACCAACTTCATTACGAACATATACAAGAAGGAACAGACATTCAGTTCTACTTTCGTAGGCCATGATCTTTGTCAGTCTTCACACCAAATGATTTACTTTGTTAAATACGGTGACTATGTTCAATTTACATTTGGATAAACTAATTTTATTCTGGTTAAATAATCGGTTCTTTAGTAAAGTTATTATAATATAATAGAATCATTTAATAAAACATGTGAAGATTGGTTTACAAACAATTGCTGTTACATTTACAGTATTTTTTAAAACAAATAGAGAAAATAGAGTGATTTACAACCGCTCTATGTTGTGCGAGTTCACTTTCTTGTATATACTCTTTGAAGTTGATATCTGTACCGAAGTTGTAAAGAAACAATCTCTATCGCTTACAAACGATTCACTTACATATCACATTCATTTATTGAATAATTAATAGGTACATATATATAATAATCATGAATATATACATATAGCAGCAACTTGAAACTTTTACAATCACAATGTTTACATTTTTCAAATTCGGCATCGGTTTATAATAATTATGGCTCTTGATATAATTTTGATTTGAGCAATGTTATGATTTAAAATACTCTATACTCCAAAGGTGAGCCGTCAAAAATATATATTTGCCGTCGTATTTTTACAAAACGTTACAAAATAATAAAGCAGATCTAACTACGTTTTCAACTTTCTACATTATCAGTCTCGATGATAAAAATGCATTTTGGCCAAAATGAGAGATCCAATTGGCATGGTCCATTCTTTCCATAAACAAACGATATTATATAGTGCCACGGCGAATCTCTTTGAATATTTATTAACGTCATTTTTGCTGACTACAATCGGTTGGAGCGTGAGGCGACCTTGATCCTTGTGTCATTTAGTTTCTGTGACCAAAATCTATATATAAAACATATCGTTATCTCTGTTTTGTCAAAGATAATGAAAAGGATGACGATATATTTTGTACAAGGATTTTGGTTTCAGAAACGAAAGATTAATTTTAATTTCATACTGTCAATCGTCAATTACTTTCATCCGGTAGCCGCAGTCGCCGTTCACTGTACGTCAACCAAACACCGTGTGCGTCCGTTATACCCGATACAGATACTTGACGTGACGTGTCGTGCTGGCACAGACCACGGCTTCATCAAACTTCCGATAACACCAAACGATAAGCTTTAGATTTATTTTAAAAATAATTATTTTGTACACGACATCATTTCAAATAATACTTCCTTTCGATCTAAAGAGTAGTATAACAAGTATCTGGAAATATCTTTTAATATGTATGTTTGTACTAACGATTTCATACGATAAAAAACATACAGCGGCCGTACATTAGTTGTAATACATAAAAAATTCAATATTTGTCAAGTCACCTGTATCGAAAGTATGAGTGGTATTAAAAAAATCAGTCTATCCTCTTAACGCTTTCCTCCGTGTCCCCGCGTATTTAAAGCTATCTCCGATTATAAAATCAGCCTAACAATCGTATAGTCACATTTTAATACTTCGACCCCTTTAAAATTTTGGTCCAATATTTTTTTTCTTCTATATATTGATTACGTAAACGTCAATTCATTCGTCAAGAGTAATGAAAACCTAGAGAGAGGATTAGCTTCCGCAGTATATATGAGATTATGTACATATTTTAAAAATATATGAGATCAAATAAGTATTCCCGTCACCTGACATTCCATTCGAACGATGAGTAACCAATGACAAAAAAAAATTAGACGTCTAGAAAAATAATCTCTAGTTTGAAAACTCGAGATATTATACAATTCGTAACAAAAATATACATCCGGGATATATTAACCAAACATATTTATTTTAGAAATAAACTAATGCTGTAAAAAAAACATTGCTTTGGTTTTATGTATGTCGAATTAAAGTTGTGACCATGATTGGTATGTCGTGGGTTATGATAGCAATGGATATCGTCAGACAATACCCTTGCATCCATACACAACTCTCACAAATCCACACACCAACGAGTCGATGGAAATTAAAACTTATTACGATTATTATTGTCACTACTGAATAAAGATGGCAAATATATAAACACACATTTTCAACGTACTAACAGTACTTCTAAACATCAAGTATATTATAATTTCATATTTGAAATAATTAGTTTGCAGTGCTAATGATAAGATATTAAAATATAACATATTACGCGTACGATATAATATATAATTCTTTTCACATATCTTGTTGGCTCAAGGTCATGTGAGCGCTGCGCAGTGCTCGCCCCACGCATCTCGCTATACCCAAACACAAAGGTGAATATACACTAGAGCATTTTGTCGAGCATTTCGATGTAATGTAACGTACTTACTTTTAGACATTATTAATAGAATCATTTGGCGCGAATGGCGCACTTTCATTACAAAGTCAAGTGCCAGAATGATTAGTGAAAGGACATAAACGTCGACATTTTAGTAAGGCTAGTGTTGCGCCAGTACACCGGCAAATTGTCGGATTTTCTTCCTAACGTTACGTATATAATACTGTGCTTTAAAAGGGTGATACACTAAAACACATACAACGGCCCGTTGTTCTATTACAAGTAAATGCTCTCGTCTATACTATTAACATGTCCTGCGCAGCGACTTACAAGAACTTAACAGCCGACAACATATCTGAAAAGTATACTTGCACGGAATGTGATACCCCATCCACAGATCTCTCTGGCACACTAAGCGACGAAACTACGATTATTAGTCTCTTTTGATTATTTGTCTGCACACTACAGAACATTGTGACGTCATCAGAGTTACATGTATAGTCGAATTTAATTAAAATGACAAATTATTTACACGCAACTGACAGCTTCCATAGACAAGTAATTGATTGTCTATAGAAGCTGTCAGGTCTAATCTTAGTAAGTCTGTGGTTACAGTATAATAAAGTTAATCTTATTTAGATAGGTAAGTAATTTTTCATGTATTGAATTCGACTATTACTTTAAATATGTCAAATAAGTTAAATACAATCTTTCGACTTTAGTCTGTCAAAAATTTCGATTTTAAAATTTAAATTAATCTTATGTTATTATAATTACAGATTTAATCTGTTTCAGTTCTTTGAAAGAGACGTATTGAAGTTTGCGTGAAAAGAACGAGACAGAAAGAATTCCAAAATATATCTTTGTACCTCTCATATGTCAAAATAAACATTTTAGAGTTGTTTCGCTTAATTATGTTTCTTACACACTTTTTGGTTGATAATAAAATTGAAATTTTTAAAAGATGATGTATGAATGCGCGCAATTTTAAAAATTGTCCTACATTTTATTACAAGCAGAATTACTTAATTCTGTACTAAATAAGATGTTTTTTTTTAATAAAATAACTTCACAATTTTAAATGCACAAGCCATAAAAATACTATACATTTTACTTTAAAAATTTCTAATCAGACTTTGATGTGGATGTATATGAAACATTAGCACTGCAATTGTCAGGTTTTTTTATTGTATTCCATTACTTCTATTGAGTATGTACCAATTTTTTATATTAAAAAAAAGCATAAGCAAATTTGTAGACGACACACTACTTATATACCTACCATATTTCTTTGAGTCTCTGAAGTTATCATGAATTTAAATTGTCAAATGTATAAACCATTATTGCTATCTCTATTTTTTTCAAGGAGAATGAAAGGGACAATATTCTTGTAACAGGTCTTACAAAGGCGCTCACCGTTAGAATTACGCGCGTTGACAAAGAATGAGCGAGACAAATATACACAGGAACTTAAGGTGTGAGAGAGATGGATTATATGTTCATGTTTTGAGTTGCTGCAGATTATTACTAACTTCAGAGTTTAGTCTTGGCGGGTATTTTACATTGTTTCTACGTAGTTGCTAAATGAAGAACTAAAGTTTAAAAACATTTTTATTATGTTAAACTTTTTGAAAGTATATTTAAACAAATAATTGATGTATCTAATTGAATATGTCAGTAAGATATTTGATATGCCTAATTCTTTTCTGTTCTCTTCATATTGTTTTTAATCTCCCATATATTTATTATTTAAATAAAATAAAACTACTCAATAGAAATAAGGAAAATTGACATACCGAGTCAAGTACAACGACATCCTAATCTTGATCAACTTTGCACAAAAGATTGTAAAAACATTTCGATCATCATGTATAAAATAATTCTCATATCAGCAACATTTTATTAAAAAATTACAAATGTAAAGTATCAAGATTAAGACGTTAGACTATAAAATACTGACAGTGTTGCCAGTCAAATTAATATTTAACTAGCAACACTGTTATATGTAGTGTCACATCAGCATATACTCCAAACTGTATTGAATAGATATAATCTGATTAAAATGCTAATAAAATTTTATCTTATTTGAGCTTTTATTTAATTGTCGCACAAAACTCATAAGTATGCATGACATTAATACATAACCAATCTAAAAGTCATTGAATAAAGAGCCCTTTTAAATAATTAAGAACTTCCAAATAATAACAATACGATTTTATACCTCCAATATTTCATATATCGTCTGCAGACTGCTTTACATTTGGAAACTGTTTGGTAGTTGTTAGGTACAGGCGTTTTTGTGTGGGCGTTAGGGCTCTCACAGACAATGATAGTTAATATATTAGCATTTTATTCATATTACAAATACCTGTGCGGCTTGTGTGTATGGAGTCAGTGTGTGGGCGAGGCGGAGGAGGCGGAGGAGGCGGCGGGGGGTGGCGAGGGTGTGGTGGGGGCGGGCTGCAGCGGCTGGAAGGCGGAGCCGAGCGAGGGCCGCAGCGTGAATCCCGCCACGCTCGGCTTCATCATCATCGCCTCCGTGTACGCGCCCTCACCGGCCTTCAGATTCACCTGGGGATTCACAAATTGGACCACTGTCAAATGTGATCAGGTATTCAAAAATTATATCAAACCACCTCCAGCCCTAATGTACAAAAGTAACCTTATCTTATTTGTGTTTATCAAAATTTAAATTAAATATAAAATCCATAAAATAGATCTTAAATAAAATCCGGACTCTCCTATAGCCCCCGTCCCACCAATTATCTTATAAAGAAAATGATGGCGATTTGTCAGAGGAGGTAACGCATAGAAAGGGGAAATATTCTCTTTCTGTGCATCCCCTGCTCCATCGGTTAAAGGTAGGCAATGTATCTGTAATTGCGAATGCCTATTGGCAATGGTCGCTTCGCTATTTTAAGTAATCAGATAGTTGCTTGCAACCTTATAATACGAAAAAAAACAAATACCTTCTCACAACCATCGGGAGGTTCACGAGCCAAGAAACGATTTATCTGCGGAGAAGTGCCGAGTTTTGATCCATCTAGATCAGGAGATGAACAAACACTGCCACCTGGAAGAACAATACGAAAAATTATTATAATAATAAAGTTAATTTACTTGCATTATATCAAACCAAACAAAAACCAAATTATTCACTTCAAAAAGCAAATGAATGATGTAATGGAATATTAATAACACTAAACATATTCCTCTGGCCTGAGTTTATTCCTTTAAGATATTTGCCAATCAGTGTTGCTATATTAAATCGCATAACCACAATAGTCAACAATTTTGATTCCCTACAAGCCAGAGAATTATCGTTGGCATTTAATACTCATTATCTAAACAAGCAATAATCCATAAAAAAAACGACTGACAGTATGACACTCTAAAAAATACCAATCTTTTGGGTGTTACCATATTACATACTTGAGAAATAAGTCAGTCAGATAAAAAAAAGCAAATAAATTGTATAGACATGCGGGTATATAACAAAGGTGTACAGTGCATGTAAGTCTAATCTGAGTTGCGAGGGGTTATCATTAAGCAGTAATTTTCTTTATAGACCTGCTGCCAGTAGCTCTGCGGAGCCCGCACTGGAGAGTGACCCTCGCGATGGAGGATCTATGCCCACAAGCCATTTTGTTATTTATTGTATTTAATTAAAGCACATTTTCTATCAACTACATCTCTACAACATTTAAACAACAGACAAAGCCATCTTTCCATTAATAATGATTTTACTAACATTTTATTTTTTGTTTATTTTATTTAACTTAAAACTGAAATATTTCAAACAAATTGTATAATATGGAATTATCATATTGTTGATGACAAAAAGAAATTGATTGTAAATGATATGAATTCAGAAAATAATAAATTTTGAAGATTTTGGCTCCATTAAAAAAAAAACAACAGTAAAACCCTGTACAACACAGTTGCTTGGGTTAATATGTCAAATAATCCAATTCAAACATACACCTTCTTGGTTTAAGTCTTAAGATAAGTTTACGCTTTTAAACATCAAAGAAAAAAATGTTGATAGCTCTTTGATTTTCATAAAGATTGGTTCTTATATGCAACAGTTGGTCAGGAATGAAATTTGGACATAATTCAATGCATAAGAAAAATCAAGGGTTAGAAGAAATAGAAATGCTAATATAATCTTAACATTGAAAACACAGTAGTAGATAATAGAAATGGATAAGACATAACTTGTTTTAAATATATATTCACCTGAGGAATGGGCCGTGTGACAGAGATCATGTGGGGTCTGTGTATTTACGGAGCGTCGTAGTAATTCCGCGAGTGGGGCTCGATGGCCCTCCGGTGTCACCTGGTATATTACAAAAGTTACATTTCACAATCTGGTACACAATTAAGATCAGTAACAAAAACCCTTAATTATTATCAAGTTTTCAATAACTCTTTTACATAGGTATATGCATGAAACCTACAACAATGGCAATAGTATGGTATGTCATACTAATAATCCCAACTACTTGTTTTACATGGTGCTTGAATCTTTTAACGCCTGCTTACCAAATTCTAGTGAGAAATAAGGTATACAATTGAACACAAAATCAGCTAATTTTAGGATTCTGGTCTATATAAAGACTCACAAAGGCTATATTTAGAAAAAGGTTACCTTATCTCGTAGCCGATCAAGATGTGGAGTCTGAGTGCCACTGGCCGGGCATAGAACAATCCGTTCGATCTCTTGATTTAGTCCCTCAACTGACGAACGAGCTGCCCTAAGCGGTACACCGCCGGTTCCAAACCGAGACCCTGTAGATATTGAACAATAATTGCTTCTTTACACTTAAGTCCAACATACTTTACTTATTACCTACAGGACGACTATTAAATCAAAGTTCTCAATTGATGATATTTTGATTTGCCTTAAAATAAATATGACAACAAAGAAACCATAACACAAATTGTAAATTATAACAGCATAACCTTTAGATTACAACAGCAGACATCTATCTATCTGCAATTCCACATTTGTTACAGGTAATCTCTGAAACGGCTGGATTTGACGGAACTTGTGACGGAAGCAACAGATGAATGTGGGTATAGGGTATGTTATATAGATTAATAGGCTAAGTCTTTTTCTACGCTGCACTTATTTGTTTTTAAAATATTTATACTTACAAAATCCAGGGCTCATTGTATTGCCAGAGAAGTCTCCAGATGCAGAAGCCTTGTGAGGTCTCTGGAGGCGACTGCGCAGGAAGCGATCCAGTTTATCATCCTCCGAACCTCGTGATGAACGGCCAGATGCTCCACCACCTTCATCAGTCTACATCAATTAAGAACACAATGTTAAAAATGCATGTAGTTACTATAATATTTCATTATTAGATTTATACTGTGAAATACAGAACTAAATAGTTATCATTGCAATGAAAAATGTTGTATTTACAACCCTAAAGTGTTCAAGGCATCAGTATAATCCTGTATTTGGGAGCAATTTACAACATATTTAGTACATTATGAACAATATAGAGTTTTTGTAATAGCTATCTACCTATGTAACAACTTATGTTCTGCAAATAAATGAGCTTGAATATAAACCAAAGGGGTTAAAACAATCATAACCACTGATAGTTATTTTATTCAACTTCATAATAAACAACTGCATTTTGTTTAATAATAGGTAAAACAAACATGTAAAAGTAAAATTATAAGTAAATTATTAACTTGTAGTCTTACTTGAGTTGATTTATCAACTTGTAGTTGACCAGCATGCAGATAATAGTCTCTAGACCATTGTCCTTTGTGATAGAGAGTATCAAGGGATGCTGTGCGCCTGATTACACTTGCACCAAACCTTCCTTTACCTATAATTCAATTTAATTCGTGAATTATAGTGTTATAAACATTTACATCTACATTCAGTTAGTATTTTACAAAAATTCGCACAATAAAACAATGTCTCTATAGAGGTTAAATAGTAAATTATATGTAATATTGTTTTGTAACCGCTAAAATACGAAATTGGGCAAATATACAAACCTTTATAGTTGACAGCACCAGGGCTGCGTTGACCAGAAAGTGCATGGTCAGGTGATATTCGACGCCAAACATTTGTAGGTGACAGAGTTGGGCTATTACCAGAATTTTTCTTAAATCCACCACTCTGTTTCATCACTGAAGAAACAGGCAGGGTCGCTCTCATCGGCCCCTGCTTGCTGACTGGACAGTCCGATTGTTTCCGAACACGACCCGACATCTTTTTTTCTTTACAATTTTCACGGTTTTAAACACCTTATGACAACACTTAAAATAACATCAAAGTTCACGCAACTTCAGCGTCCAACAAAATATTACACACCGACGACGCCGCACGGCTTCTTTGTAGAGGGAATTGTTAGGCCCTGGAAATCAACTGTGGTACGTGCAGCTGCTATCTTATAAGTATATGATCCAATAACCGGTAAGTCTGTTACACTATTGGAGACTATAAAGTCATCGTACGCGGTGTTCGTGTCGCACTTATATGATAAAACAGAATTCTATCAAACTAGTCACATTTTTTCTGCACTACAATGGATGAATGAATACATCTGACAGATGACATGGGACATCGCGCCATTCCTTAATTCTCTTCATACCATTAATTTAAAAGGTAACACTTATCTAAGCAACAAAGAAAAACAAAATAATATTAAAATTGCGTCCTACTGACTAAAACGAAACAATTTATAACTACTCGTTGGCATTGCAATTAACAGCTGATTACTCCGCCATGACGGAATATCTATGGTTAGTTTATCAATTTGGCTATGTAAAATGTTGCTAGAAAAGTGAAAAGTGTAAACAAAAATATTTAATCCTACATCAAGAATTCATAAACAAATTGAAAAAGCTTTCACTTTTTTAACTTAAATTAGTTATTACGGGATATGTATAAAACAGAATGTGTTTTATGATGCTGTATCACTATGCTTAAGCAATTTGTTAGATGATAAAGGAACATGTACGCCATCTAATAGTACACAAGCGCTTCTCATAGATGGTCAGATAAAAGAAAAAAACAGTCCTACAAATCCACCTTCTTTTCTGATTAGATTAGGATAAGAAGCAGAAAAGGCGTGGAATTATGGTTCTAGCAGCTTGCTATTTAGCCAAAATTCATGTCTGTCTTCCGCAAGGTCGTCGTATTTTACCAGTCCATTAGGCAACGGCTGTTGAGGGATTTACTATTTCTGCCCCTTTTAGAATAGCTGGGAATAAAAAAAAATAGGCAATAGGTATAATTTAATTTTATTTAAACATTCCAAACAGTGTCTAAAACACTGATTCTCGACACATTTCTTCACTTTGGAATGATTATACGTAATTATTAAATGTATTTTATATTGAAAAAAGTGTAACCAAATAACAACCAAATATATTTTTTAACAAGAAATAACGTATACAACCTGAAATAAGATGTGTCCATAAAAATAAAATTATAATAACTTATTTTTAACTATGAATAGAAATCAAATATCACAAATAAGAACGTACATTATGGAAAAACAACATGAACAAACATAAATAGGTGGTTTTCCCAATCAAGTTGAATACAAAGGTTTGGTTAAATATTCCTGTGGCGAGGTTTTAAAGTAATTACCTTACATGTTTAATTTGTCATAAGTATTTGGGTAAAATAGATAAATAGAGATACTACAGCATTAGGTGCTTGTTTAATGTTGTATTATACATATTTTAATTAAACAATAATTTAATTAGTATGGCTAACAATAGAAGCAGGCTGCCTTTTGCCAAAACCCATTTTAAGTATATATGATGATTATACATATTCATCTACGTTGTAATAAACAACGGGTTAATAGGTAATAGGCATAAATACCTTTCGCGACTTAAATACATTAAAACAAAATTGTACTTAGTTTAAGTCAAGCATACTTTTAGAAGTATTGTTTTTAGCCGTCTTCAAAAAGAAGGAGGTTATCAATATCTGTATTTTTTTAAATCTTTTTGCTTGGCGCCAAAAATATCTATCGTCCATTGTGACACTTACCGATGTCTTTTCAAATAGGTGGTATTATTTATGTACATAAAAAATCAATACATAATAAAAAAAAACATAAATAAACATAATTTTTACTTCTTATCAATATAATTTCTTATGTTTACTCTACTTCTGTTGCTGCTGTAAGGGTGGGTCTCCACTGTATGATTGTAACAAAATTTTTCCCTCTCATTATCTTAATAAGGCAGAGATAGCGCCGTGTTTTTGTTGAAAATCATGAGAGTAAGGTGTGGTGTTTTTAAAAATAACATATAAAAGCAGCCTAAGTAGCCATTTAAAATAAAAAATTAAGATTTTCTATAACTATAATTTAGACGTATGAACGTATATATACCATTACTAGCTATGCCCGCGACTTCTTTCGCGTGGTTGTCGGAAACGTTATCGCGATTATCTTTTGATTGCATTTTTCTTTGCTCCTATTGGTCGCAGCGTAATGTTATATAGCCTAAAGCCTTCCTCTATAAATGGACTATCCAACAAAAAATAATTTTTCAAATTGTTGCAGTATTTCCTGAGATTACAGCGTTTAAACAAACATACAAACAAACAAACTCCGCATTATATTAGTATAGATAACAATTTAAGCAGTGGATACCCACATTAGCAAACATTAATTTCGTTCAAACTAGTTAATAGATATTAAGTTATAGTACGACTACATTTACGTGGAAATACTATGAATATATGGTAATGATTACATCATAATTATATTATGTTGGGTTTACGTTATTACTAACTGTTGCCCGCAACTTCATCCGCGTCATATTGAAAAATACGTGCACGTCGAAATAAAACCATTTGCAGTATCCCGTTCGGCCGATCCAGCGGCCGGCCGGCCAAGACAGCGCACTGGCGCCGCTTTTGGTGTAGCGGCCCCTTCATATTTTGTGAAATCTTGATAACATTATTAAAAATAAATAAACCTAAGTTACTCCTGTATATATGAACTATTTCCATTGAAAGTTTTATCAAAATCGGTCCAGCCGTTTCGGAGATTACCCGAGACAAACGCAGACGCAGACATACAAACAAAAATTTTAAAGATATTTTTTTTGTTATGAGTATCGTAGTAAATACATCATGTGTATGGAATATGATTTTTATTTTGATATTACAAAACTACAGTTCTATTTTATTTTTGTTTAGATTAAATCAAAATGTAATTTTGCAGATGGTCTTAAAAACAAAAAATTAAATGCGACCTGCCTTTAAAACGTCATTTGTTTAGAAAACAAAGTTATACTAGCCTGTCTATTTCTTGTGATGTACAAATTCTTAAATATAAAAGATAATTAAGAGTCCGAGGTACTAGGTTCGTGTTGAGCACTCTTCATTCTCTGTTCTGCGATCCACTTATGGATTCTCTCCTTGAGTTCAGTGTTGGACTTCACTTGGTCCATGGATAGCGGAGATCGGTTGAATGGATCGGTTTGATCGCTCAGAAGATGTCTGAAAAAACATAATATTACTTAGCTTCCTCTAAATTTTTTTGTACATAATAAGCCCTCTTGTTTGTCTATGTGTAATCGAATATCGCGTTGCGCTCGCTTTGTAGATCCTTCGTACAGATGGCCACGTAAATCATCAAAACAGATATTGTATGGTCGCGACACAAGAATTGCGTTGCGCGAGCTCCGTACATCCAACATTGAATCGTCGACACGAGTTATCTATACAGTCTGTGCTTAGCTGTCAACTGCTAATTTGCTTAACCGTCTTAAAAACAGACAACTTTTTTTGCGACAATCTCGTCAGATTAGGAGATTGTTTTTGGTAATGAGTTGGAAATATCGGCGACTTGCGCTGTGTAGTATACTACCCACTATGTTATTGTATTGCGTAAGTCGCTATGCGGCTAAAATGGCCAGGTTTCAAAGGTTTTCGTTGCGTACGAAGGCTCTAAAAAGCATTAATAATATGGTTGTACTATAATATGTGTATAACCTGGCAATGGTGGTGCGGTCAACAGTAGTGCGGGAGCTGGGCAGCAGTACTGGGTCCAACATGAGAGTGCTCATGATCGGGTCGAGGAAGTCGTCTGGCGCGTTGGCCAGCAGCTCCTCGTCGCGGCGGCGCTGCACCGCCAGTGCTGCCACACGACTCGCCACCTCCTGCAGCGAGCTGATCAGACCGCCGCCTCCGATGCGAACTGCAATACGATAACACATACAATCTATATTTGTTTTATTGGATATGACAACGTATGAACATTAAAACAGCGGATAAACGTGTTGGAGTTTTTTTCAAATAGTCAATGGTCTATTTATTTTCAATATTTTTATTTTAACTTGGATCTGCACTACTCAATTAGAGCTATAAAAAATCTACCGACATACTATACAATCTGACATGGACAAGAGAGAGTCCAAGGGACCGTGATATTTTTCACGCTTATAGAGGTTCCTATCTAGACCGTGTTTATGGTTTATAGAGGATTCTCGCTTATCCAGGTTTGACTGTTCTATATACTACACTACTAAATAAAGATTGGAGGATTTATATGATAATCAATCAACAAGGAAAGTATATCTTTAGTTTACCTAGTACAGTTTCAGCGTGAGAGAAGAGCTGGGGCGAATAGCACCTGCCGTCGTCAGAGACCGCGGCGCAGAAGCGTTCGTTGCTGCCCAACTCCACGTACATGCGGCAGATGTCCATCACCGTGTTGGCTGGTTCAAACTCAAACTCCTTCAGATCTTTCACCTGGAATGTTATTTTATTAATTATTGAATAATCCATTTTGGATAGTACACAACATACTGAATATTGAAACGACATATGTAGAAATATTTAACAGCGTTTTTTAATAAGGCAACGCTCCAATTCTAAATACCACTAAATTCACAAAACGGATTGATTAAAATTCGTTTTAGTATTAGACCGAGAGCTGAAATGATTGTGATTTTTTATTAATAACTAGCTGTCGGCCGCGACTTCTACTGGAATTAAAAAAAACCTTATTAGTAGTAACCTATGTTCTACGTTCATGCCAAATTTCATGGAGATCCGTTTAGCGGTTCTAGCGACACCTTCTACTAAACATCATCTATCCTATCTAATTGTTTAATATTAGTAAGATGACATACCTTAAAATTCTTTTTATTAGGTCCAACGAGATGCAACAAGAAGTAGTTTAGCATGGAAGCGATGCGATCAACCAGCGTGGGATGACAGAAGACGTAGGGCGCGTGCGCAGTGAGCCGCACCAGAGTACGTATCGTGTCACGTCCCAGGATGTTGTCGAAGCGCGCCAGCATACCGATGTGCGACAGATTGGTCATATGTTGTTCTCGTTCTTGTACCGTTAAAGTATTCCATTCGCCTGATATTCTGGAATTCATTATATTTATTTTTAAAATTACAAATATTACATACAACTCGAAAAACCATGAATAGAAAACATTAAAAGCCACAAAACGAAGTCGGGAAAAGGCCGCTTCGCTATTTAGGCGAATTTTGGTGGCTGCTTGCTCGCTTCCCATTTATAATAAAAAAGATTACTTATACAATTTCTTTCTCAATGAAGTTGCTTCCAATAAAGGAAATAGGCTTTTTAGTCTTGAACATAATTTGATACGTACATTCGAATCTTAGTGATTCAAATTATGTTAAAAAGCGATTTTTCGTCATCTTTATTACGTTTTTATTTTTGCTTAAAATAATCTGTCTATAAATTAGTTACAAAAAATAATTTAAGCACAAATAAAAAAAAACATGTATAGTCTGCTATTATAGTTTGGTATGGGATGGAATGGAATGTGATGGGGTGGTATGATGTGAGAGTTAAGGCATATTATACTGACTGCATGGTCTGCAGCGTGCGTATCTGCGCCATGTTGTTAAGCGCCTCGTCCAGCAAGAAAATGGCGTCGTTCATGAGCAAGTTGACGAATCGCAGGAACAGCGGCGGATGTACCGCCTCCATGTTCGCCTCTGCCTCGCGAGCCAGCTTACTGAAAATATTAATAAAGTAACAAAAGTGCATGTCAATATGTTTAATACAAAGAGGAATAGTCATAGTAGTACGTTGCGTTGTTTGATATCATTTGGATTGCTTAAACTGTCTGACAACGAGTTGAACAGGTTATCGTAGCGTATTAAAAACAGGGTACAGTCAGGGCACTTAGCGGTGTATCACTTGCTTGAAAAAATGCTTTGTTCATTGCAAAAAGACAAACTCTACTCATTCTTATAAAATAACCAATTAGGTAGCAGTTAGTTACGCAAACGATGGCATGAAAATAAAGGACTTATGAAGGATATATCACAGACCGACCTTTTTCATATATACACACGTTTAAAAGCTGTGTTCCATTGGTTATTATTACGTTCAAACGACTGTTGCTTTTGATGTGGGATGAGCAAATTTCTCGATAGTACATACGTGAAGGCGTCCCTATGCTCCTCCATGGTCCAGAGGAACTCCATGACGAGGTACATGGGGCGGCGGTAGTTGAACTTCTGCTCGAACTGCACGCTTTGCCCCGTCATCTCTATGCCCACGAACACGTCCAGCAAGCACGGGACCAACTGGAAACACAACAAGTATCCTTACTTTATGACAATTTAGTGTTGTGTCTCCTGTATAAAAATAATTTACTGTTAACTAAAAGTTTACTATAAAGTAACTATTTTTATTTAATTTGTTATTTAATCAATTTGGTGATGATTTAACCTCATTTTAATGAAATTTTCACTGATGTTGCATTTATTTTTTCCTCATATGAATATTAAAGATAGCTTACGTATGCGGGTGTAACATGGCTATTTTTTACACCCACTATCAAAGTTGCGACCGACAGTTAATAATTAAGTACATTTTCTCTGAGTGTACTTTAACTCAATCAGACTGTTTTCTTTAAATGTATATAATTGTATCAAAGAAAACATTTAGTTTACTTGTAGCCGATGTGGATTCTCCTTGAAGAGCTGCTCCCTAGAGAAGGAGGCGAGGTTGCTGAGCGGCATCTGGTCATCAGGGTGGTTAGGCAACATCGCCTCCAAACACTCCGCTAAACGAGCTCTGTAATAATAATTACATATTATTTCACACTAGTTTTTTCCTGCGACTTTGTTCTTGTCTAATGAAAAAAATTCAAGTAATAAATACAGCTTATGTCAACTGATAAAGACATTTTTAAATCATACCTAAATATATATTTTTTCTATTTATAATATTAGTACCAACATAAATCACACGACGAACCAAACCTAATAGGATGCTATTCATTTCTTTCTACTCATTACCAATTTTATATATTTATATTTATAATAACCATTAATATAAAACATTGATGAAATTTTAATACTGATTTTTAAAGTCTAAATCATTTTTGGGATAAAAATTTAATTTATATTTGTAGTCTAGTGATACTGGGTTACCTAAGATGCGGGTTATATGTCCGCGTGGAGTCTCCCATGAAGGCGAGGACCAGTGTGAGAGCGGGCTGCAGCAGACCAGCCACATCCGCCTCCTCCGTGATGGCGCCCGCAGTCCGCCGCACCATTGAGATCAACACAACTACATTCTCCAACACGAACTCTGGGATACATCTGTTGACATTACATTATTGATTTATAACATTGCTCTTCTATATTTGTGAACTGTCACTCAAAATACCGTTCGCATGGAATTAAAAAATAACATAATTAGTAAGCTATCTTCCAGACTATGTTCTACATCCATGACAAATTTCATTGTACAGAGAGAGATCCATTGAGTCACTCTGTAGATACTTTTTAACGAACATAAATCCATCCATCCAAAGATTCGCATTTGTAATATTAATATAATAAAGCACTTCTAAAACATTTTACTTATATACAATGGCTTAGACTATTTTAGAAGCTTTTATTTATTTTCACCTCTCCCGATGTTTGTCATAAAATCTTGCAATTTTACATTTTAAAATTTCCTTTCATTTATCAATATGAATTTTTGAATTTAAATACCTTTGAATGACCTTGAAAAGTCTAGTATATTGTTGTTTTATCAAAATTTATGTACAAAAATGTCACCACCAATAATAAAAAGTCGTCAAACCTCAGAGTATCCGGTGGCGGGGAAGGAAGCGGCATGTGTACTGGCACGAGAGTGCGCGGCGCGTAGTTGGAGCGCGCAGGCGCATCAGTGCGCGCGGCCACCTGCACCAGCCACGTGCACGTCATCGCCTGGAACCTGTGCAGGTTGGTCAGCATGTCCGCCTCCAGCAGCGCGCAGCGGAGACTCATGAACCTAGTAAACAGGTAATACATTGAGAACATTGTTATGGCTCAATTAGACTACGACATTAATGATCGACATGACGGATTTTTACACAGCGGCTGACTAATAATCATGTCTCAATAAATTTTGTCTTAAATTTTACTTTTACAGCTTTCCTCTAGAGCCTTATATTCGTGGACCTATTACATTTCCAGTCTGTGCATATTTTCTTCGCAGGACACCGTAGAGCACACTTTGATAATCGCAGACCTAGAGTAATTCCAGGAAAGAATAATAATTTTATTTAACATCTTCAAAATCAGACACGCCACTCAGGCTATAAGATTGCATTTAAACATAAACAAATTGTCATGTCTTACTTGGTCATAAGATGATGACCCCTTTGGCGCATAGTCTCAAGTAGATGTGGTGGAACATCAGACAAGGCTCGCTGGGTACGTCCCAACTCCTGGCCAAAGCGCCACAGCTTCTCCGCACACACACGGACACCTTCAATTATACAACTTATATTTTAATGGCATGAAAAAAATATATTTATATACACAAATGTTAGTCAAAACATAGTTATGTATTCCATATACTGTTTTTGCTTTGATCTTACTTCTTACTAATATTATAAATGCGAAAGTTAATATGGATGTATGGATGTTTGAAGGTATCTTCAGTAAGGCTCAAGGGATCTCTATGAAATTTGGCATGGATGTAAAACATAGTATGGAAGACTACCACATAAGTTGGTTACTAAATAAGTTTTTTTTAATTTCGCATGAACGGAGTCTAGTCTAGTCAGCTAGTCTTATGTAATTATAAATAATTGTTTATTTTATTTAAAAATAAGTCCTGTATCTAAAAATTTAAAGTGTTAAAAAAATCAATTAATATAATTAATTTGTTATAATTAACTTTGAGTTTTTACTCACCAAGGTCAATACATTTCTGTGTCATAAAAAAGCATTCGGTAACAAAATTGTAAGTGTCCGCAGTGGGTCTTTTGAGGCTCTGATTATTCTCATCCTCACGCGGCGGTAATAGACAAGTCTCATTGTGCAAGCAGTCTAAATGTACTGATTTAGCTTCACATTCTTCAGGCTGAAAATTAAGAAAAGCAAAATTAATAAAAAAAAAAACATTAGCCTAGTACTACCACTAAGTGGCATACATTATTTGATAATCTGCATTGAAGCCAACTGGCACATTATACAATTAAATTTAACCTTAAAATTAACAAGAAAAAGAATAATATTTTTTGTTAATAGGTATAGGAATAATACTTACAGGCACTGCTCCATATGTTGGGTCAATTTTGAGAGATTTAGGATCATCGGGAGTGCTGCAAAATGGCTGACATAGTTGTAACAGTACAGCGCCCAAGTTCAACATAAAACCATCAGACACACAGTTCAATGTTGCTCCACTTACTTCACCAGCCTAAAAAAATATAAATTAATTATGTTTAGATTAATAAATTATTCAAACTTTCGTGAGACATTATAATAAACTGATATATAAACACGGCTAAACACTCACGTATATTCGTCCGGTGGCGGCACCAACTAGTTTCGAGCCCATCAGGGGGTCCTTCATGTGCCGCAACCGGACGAATATACGTTAGTGTTTAGCCATGTTCATATATCAGTTTAGATTAATAGTTTTTTTTTATAAAAACCACTTTCATTCAAAACAAAACTAAACACGTAATTTTTTTAATCATTAATTAATAGTGTTTCCAAAATGTTTCCTTTAAAAAGAAATATATAATTTACAGACCTGTACGTTCCACAGTTTCCCTCTAGCCACATTAGCTTTAAGACATTTACCGACCCAGGTAAGTAGACGGTTCCTCATTTGTGACCCACCCTTTAATAGCATCAGGAATATTTTGTGCATATTGTTGATTAAATGTGATGATGCATTCCAAATAGAATTTTCAATCATTGATGTTCCTGCCTGTAATAAGAGTATTAAGATCAATTTCGATTAGGAATAAAACCTTCAATTTTCAAAACAAAGTTGATTTTTCTGGTGATTAAGTTTGGAAATAAATTATTCCATACAAATCATTTTACTCACTGATAGGAGAGCTTTCCATTTAAGAATTTTTAATTTAAGTGGTTTTTGAGTTTATATACAATTAGAGAATTAAGTATTTCTTTTTATTTTTTTAAAATGAGTACTGTTAAAATAACACATTACCGAATCCAAGGGACCATCAAAAAACTGGAAAGTTGCATTTGGTTTAGGAGGCAACACAGACAAAGTAAGAAGTGCTCCCAGTATAGAATTCTGGAAATGTCTTCCTATTGTTTCATCTTTTGGTTCACATGATTCCATCAATATTAGTGCCAGGTTTGGGTTGCCTTTGAAGGAATAAAAGTTACTTAAAACATATAGCTCTTACTAATATTATAAATGTGAATGTTTGGTTGTAAGGTAAAATGTTTGTTAGATTGTATCTCCAGAATTGCTCTACGGATTTGGAGCAACACATGACATGGGTTGTGTAAAAGAGGATATACATAAGAAGGTAGTGAATTCAAATATGACAGCTGATAGAAATGTATGAAAGTATGTACTATACTATACTATACTGACTTTTCATAAGGAAAAAGCAGGTTGACAATGATAAAATTCAATACAAATGACATATGAAGTATTAAAAGGAAACACTTACTTGCAAATAAGTGTACACATGGGAGTATATAGATAGGTAGATTAATAATGTTTGACTTCATAACACTTAGGGTTATTCTATTAAGAACTGGTATCATGGCATCTTGCAATTGTTTCTGGCAATCTTCTCCACCTGAAATTATAAGTTATAAAAAAGTGAATAATGTTAATAGTTACCATAAAAAAACAAACCATAGCACAAACTCTATAGTAAAATTGATTAAAAGAATTTTATGTATTTAACTTTAGGTAAAATTAAAAAACATGTACAACCCAGAAGGGTGGGGTCGGAAAATATTTCCATTTACCGCTGTATTGATTTTCGAGTAAGAGTAAAGTTAATTTAATATTACCTTCAGCCACAAATGCCTTCACCAAATCTTCAAAAAATGTGTGACTTTGTGGATCTACATGTTGAAGCAACTGATAAAGTTGCAAAGAGAAATCCTGATCTTCAAACAGTGCTGGCTGTTTCAAAGCAGTTATGGCATTTCTAAATATTAATTCCCTCATTTTAGTCAATGCACTCTGCACAATGGCTGAATTTAATTGTTCATAACTTTGCAAATTTTGTAAGGAACTGAATAGATATGGGAAAACTTGATTTTGCACAACATGTTCTTTACATGCCCTGCTTGTTTTAGGTATAACCTGTGTCTCAACATTTTGTAGCAGCAACCTCTCAAACAGCGCTTGCTCTAATATTTCCAAGTCTATATAAATCTTTGGAGCAATGACTTGCGATAACTCTTCCAAGAATACTAGCTGTCTGTCTGTTGAAGGTCCATCTACAGCTTTATTGTTGATAGTAAAATGAAATACATTTTCTACCATGCTATTAACTGTTTCCAAGTCTTCATCCTCTTGTGATTTCTTGAAATTAATTTGCTTTGGTATGTTATCCCCATTGTATTCATTGTCATTTGTTGGTTTTACTTCTGACACTCCCAATAAACCAGCAAATGGATTATTTGGATCTGACATCGTTAATTTTTGTAATGACAATAGTAACAACAATTGCCTATTTATATTATTTTTAAAGAATTTACATTCTAGCCCACGTACGTTCAATTCTGAAATATAATAATTTGTCACCGTTCAATTGATACACATTGTAAGGTTTCAAAATACGCAAATTGACAATTAATCAAAATATGCTGACTATTGTTTCGTTATCACAACTTGAAGTTGATAAAAAATTGACAATGAAGATGAAGCTGAAGTGGAGAATGACGTTTGAATTTATAAAAAAAAAATCTTGTGACTTGTGATTCGTCACATCATTGTATGAAACAGATTATTTAAATTCGTTTTTCATGGTTATTTAGAAGAACTTTCATTTTTGCAATTTATATTATGTAAAATACTAAGGAAGTTGAAATAATTTTTAAATAAATGCTCGTATTCATTTCAAGAGTACATTTATTTATAATCTGTTTTAACACTTTCGTCAAAATAGTACCTTTTATCATAAAGTTGTATTTTTTTTTAAGAAAAAGAAAGTTATTTAACTTTATATTTCTCAAGAATATTTTTAGTATAGTCAAAATATTGTAAAATATATTTTATAACTTCAAAAGAAAAAGTATTTCAATAAGTAGTGGGTCTGACCGGAAAAGGGAACCACCTGAGAAACAACTCCCCAAGGCGACAGTGGCGCTGTTTACCGTAGTGTGGATTTGAGGAACTAATGTTTTAGAAATAACTCCTTTGTTTTGCTGCAGTCGTCGTCCGAATCCGAAATCAATATTCCGTATACTCGAATTGTTACGTCGCCTTTATGCAGCAATGCTATGAAAATCATATTTTATATGGCGTATAGTAGTCGCACATAGTGAAACGTTAATATTTAATGTAAGATTGGTAACACTTACTATTATTTACTTGCTAGGTCTTTAAATGAATGCGTGTCCCCTATTATTTGTACAAGTGCTTGCTTAGCTGAAAAATCATACACGTGGTATATATATGACTTACACATATTTTTATAATTTAAACGCGTTTACAAATCATGAAATATGAACGCTGTTATTGTATATATTAATTTATTTCCGTATATTTGATATACGTATATATATAAATATATATATCAAGATGGCGGATGCTTCCCCAAGCGCTCGATAAATGCGTCGTTTGATGCGTCCTATTTTTCTGTACAAAATATCTGACAGTGCATGAACTAATTATTAGTATTATTAATTTAATATGGATATTATGCCTAAATTACTAAGAGTATGGTGTCGGCATCGGACTATTTTTATTATTTTCGTAGGTTTTGCCATATTTTGATCAAAGTACATAAATATTATGCTACCAAATTGAAAAGGCAACGGGTGTAGTTGTGAGTCACTGTACGCCAGTAATATTTTGTGTATGTGTGTGTAAGCGTGATACTCTGCGTGACCTCGAAAAAGGAAGGACATGGCTATCTTGACGTTCTAGAAGGCTGACGTCATTCAATTTGATTCGTCGCGTGAGCGCAACGCACAGCAAGACATTGTGAAATGTGAACGGCCACCCACTGCTTGCATTACCACTTATATCTACTAATTTATTTATTTGAAAGTGGTGGCTATGAACAGTTATTCCACTGTTTCTATCCTTACATGTTGATTTTATAACTGCGCTACACTACATTGTGATTTCTGGAGATATTATCCCAATGCTAATTGTTTCGACGAATATTAGGTATAGTATATAAGAAATCAATGGCGGTTAATTCCGCTGCTAACTACGATTAAATTAGACAATGCAATTCATTAACGGATACTTAATTCCTACTGTAAATTGTCTTAATTTTGGTTTTACGCAACATGACGTTTTCAAATACATACAGAAAGGTTTCTATGTGTGAGTGACTTATAGCTACACCACAATATGTAGCAATTTTTACATCAATGTAAGTTGGGTGTGGTTTTATTAAGTTTAAAACTTTTCATTATTTTACAGCAATCAATTTCAAAGAAAGTTTTTTTGCTTAGATAATCAATTATAAAAATCGTATTATGCTTCACAATGTTCAATTCAAATTGGTCGGGTTATACAGTTTATATTTATCTATTTGCGACGTTGCCAAGTTTCTTTGATGACGTGACGTACAGCGTATTTGATGTTTTACAAAGGAAGTTCACAATTAAGAATTATCTTGATATGAAATTTAAGATATAATATTTTCCAACAAATTGAAATCTCTTGATATCTCTATTTACAACATTAGGGTATAAGGTATTATTTACTTAGAATGTGATGTGGAATGTGCTGATGCGCCATTTTGCACAAATATGGCAGGTTATGGAATTTTTTGTTGTGTAAATAATTTAATTTTCGACTAAGTGTTAGTTTTCAGGTGTTTTTTATAATACAAATAAAAAGAACACTAATGACCATTATACTTTTGGCTAGCGCTAATGATGACATCGCTCATTATTTTATATTTAAGTTAAATTTAATCATTAACATTGTTAATTGTTAAATATATTTACCAAATTAATAATTAGTATATTAAGAGTCAACTCATTACTACCAATAACCACAATTTTCAATACCTGATTACAAACGATTTGTTTAAAAAGCAACTTATTGAAAAACGTACCTTAAAATTAGTTAAATATATCCCAATTAAAATAAGAGTGAAAAATTTAAGTAGTATGTAATACAAAATTATCTCTTTAGATACTATTGGTTTGCCAATAATTTTATTACAGTTTATATGTTAATACATGAACTTTTCTATTAGTAATATGTTCCAGCGTAAAAAATAAAATAATGCATTCTATTTGTAATATAGGAAATATATCGTCATTATTAAACCCATAAAATTATAACGATGACACATTGATCGTGCTTAGTAAGTTATGTAAAGTAACAATTTAAAAATATAAAATATCAATATACATTTTCAAAATACATTATAAGTAGTTTTTAAATGACAATTAAAAATGTAATAATACAAGTATCACATCATAATCAAATAATTTCTCAATTCCAGTGCATCCTTCACAATGGCAGAGACTGCACCAAATGTTTTGTCTGAAGATTTGGAAGACGGCGAGATTGAGAGCGAAGGAGAGGAGACAGCAGAAAATGTGGAAACTAATAAAACTGACGAATGTAGTATAAAGAATGAAGAAAATCAAGATATTCATAAGGCAGAACAACCACAATTTTATTATACTAAATCAGGTAAGAAGAAAAAATCGAAGTCTCATAAAGGTGAGCAAAAATTCAAGGACAAAAATAAAAAGAATCGTAAATACACTGGTCCCATAGATGACGATTTCGCTGGTAATATTGAAAAAGCTATAAGAAAAGCTATGAACAAAAATGAAGATAATCAAGGTGAAGTCGAGGATGATGTTGAAGAACGTCGTAAATATAAAAAAAGAAAAAAATATGATAGCAAAGATGGCCCGGGCAGAAAGCGCAAAAAACAAGAATATTCTGATGAAATGGATGAAAGCGAAATGATGTGTGTTAGAGGTGCGTCGCCAGTTCATAAAAATTCCCCAGGAGAAGCATTTCAGGAAAATGATAGTTCTTATGCGTCTGATAGCAGCCAAGAATCTCGGGGACCCCCACAACATCGCCCACAACGGCAGAGACCACCCCAACGTGAAAGGAATAAGAACAATAAAAATGACAGGAGAAGAGGTATACATCCAATGCAAGATCCCGAAGGCGTGTGTTTGTACTACATGCAAGGGAAATGTCAGAAAGGTGATGAATGTCTTTTTTCACACGATGTTCAACCTCCTCGAAAGATGGAGCTTTGCAAATTTTACCTTATGGACTGCTGTGCGAAACGAGACAAGTGTTTATATATGCACGCAGATTTTCCTTGTAAATATTATCATACTGGGCTTCCTTGTGTATATAAAGACGATTGTAAGTTCGCACACGGTAAACCCTTGAATGACAGTCTAAAAAATATTCTTCTAAAGCATATTGAATCTGCTCCCAAAGAGATTTTAGGAGATTTTCCAAGACTGAATAGGGAGGGAGCATTAAAATTAATACAAACAACTCAATTAAAACTAATGCAACAATTTTCAGAAAACACTGAGTCTCAAGAGAGAAGTATTCCATCTCTTTTCGAACTAAATATCCCGATTCCTCAAAATTCCCCGGATAGCTTCCAAATGCATCAGTATAACAACGAAAGGCAAAAGGTGTCACCGAAAATACGGCAGTCGAGGTGGCAAAATGAAGGTTCAAATCAGAATTTTGGTATGAACATGTCCCCCAATGGTACTGGTAATACGAGCTCAAGTAACATTCTTAATATTAAAAATTTAACAGGAGTTTTAACACCTAAACAAATTTCAGATCTTACCAAAATGGGTATTGAAAATTTAGACCAACTCGGCCAATTAACAGTATTACAGTTAAATAGTATTGGCATATCTTTAAAACAAATAACTGAAATACAATTAAATACAATGAGCATACAAAAGTTAGGTTTAATTAATAATGTCGATCAACAGGCGCAAGCATTTGTAGGACAAAATGCCGGGGCTCAAGATATGGACCTAAGAGTGCCGCCCGCGGTACAAGTTTCAAGCAATGTACCAATATCAGCTGACTTACCTGGGCAGGATATTGACATGCGCTTTCAGTCTAATGTATCGCTTCAAAAAACTGATGAACCCGCCGACACGACTGAAGGTAAAAGCAAAGAGCAGAATAAGGACATGATTGACATAGACCAGTACACCAAAGACGCTTTAAAATTTGCGTTGAAGGATAAAGAAAATATTGATATCTCTAACGAATCGTTTGAAAACGAGAAACCTGTCCCTTCGATCGAGTCTAAAGATGTCGATCACAGAGTACTGCCTTTTGTTAATGACGATCCAAGAACGCGACATACTAAAATTGAAGATAAGCCTAGACAAGCAGAATGTGATACAGACATTAGATTTCTGCAACCGGAACCACTATTTAAAAACACCGAGAAACGTCATCGTCGCTCAACTACTGATGATGAAGATAACAATCTATTGATCGATGAAAAATGGTATTCCAGTGATGAAGAAAAAGGAAACAAGAAGAAATCACCGGCCTCGTCACCAAAATCCTTAATGTCACCGCCTGCACCTCATATTATAGAACCATCGACCGTATTAAGTAGACTGGGAGATTTGTCAAAAATTGATATAAGCGAAGAGGTAACCAAATTGCTTAATACCATGAAAAACAACACACAAGAAAACAAACAGAGCCCCTCAGAAGTGTCGGAGGCTCGCGTGTCACGGGATCCTAGGTCGAGACGCTCTCCGGATAGAGTTAGTGATTCTGGCAAGACGAACAAGAAGTCTCCACGGGTATCGATTTATGAATGTATTGATGGCGAACCCACAGATGGACGACGAAGAACTGATGTCGATTTACGGCAAGCCGAATACAATGTGCCGGCTTTTGGTGACACTGATTTAAGACAAACTGCCGGTGGCGACATAGATTTTCGATTAGGATTGCCATTCAAAGCCATACCAAATTACACGCCGGCATCCGAAATAAATGGTTCTATAAATAGCCATCCACCAATTACGTATAAACTCGTACCTATTGACATTCCCCGACCTGATTATACAGATATTAGAAATAGCACAGCAAAATCACAAGCTCTACAGGATCCTAGGTTAAGAAAAGTGTTTCGACTATCGGTGGACGAATCCAACAGTGACAGTGAGAAGCCTCCAAAAGTGACGAGTACAGCGCCGCGGGTTGACCCTCGACGAAAACCGAAAGAACCAGAAATTGTGCCAGAGCAGAAGTCCATAGACTTACAAACTATACTACAGAACTCCAACTGGTATAAAGATTTGAGCTCCACGCAGAAAATATTTGTGAATCAACATTTGGTACCTGTTACCCAAATGATAAAACAGTATCAGCAAGAGAAGTCTTCGGGTAAAATGTTCGATCTTTCCAGTATACAAAGTAATACAGTTTTATGTAATATTTTCACGAATTTAGGTGTATCTTTAGGGGAGAACGGTGAGTATTCGTATTTGCCAAAGCCGAAGGAGGCCTTATTGAAAACGCCTGTTAATTTTAGTCAAGGTAGCCTGCCTTTCAATATGAATGCTGGCGGTGGGATGGAACCGAATATGAATATGATGAATGTTTCCTCGATGGGTATGGGGACTGTTCCCAACGTGAATAATTTAAACATGGGCCATATGCATAATTTTAATCAGCCTCTATCGGATCCCCGAGGAGGTCCAACACCTGGTCTGCTCGGTATAGCACCTAATATTCCTCACAATTTTAATAATAATAGTTTCGGTGGTCCTAATAACTACGGGAACAACATGTCTTTCAATGGGCCTCCTCAGGGTAACGATTTTAATTATATGGATGGAGATCAGAACTTCCAGAGATTTCCAAACAGAGGAGGTCATCGCGGCAGAGGGAATGACCGGTGGAATCGTGGGGGCTCCGGGCGGGGACATCGGGATAGAAAAAATTTTAACGATCGGGGTAATTGGAAAAACGATAGGCATTAGGTAATGTACATTATACTCTTTGCATAGTGATAATTGGATGTAATTAAATTATTGTTATAAATATAGGAACCCTTCCACACGATACAAGATGTGATCAAGGTGATAATTATTAGTAATGAATAGACTTGTTTTATGATTAATTTTAATTAGGATAAGAATTTTATGTGTACAAGGTCCAACGTGTCAGTGTATAATGTGTATGATTTCACTTAAAATGAATTGGTAAAAAGTTTATTTTTTATATTAAATTATGTTCAGTAAATATGTTGGTTTCAAATGCTTCAATACACGTACTCATATATACAAGCCAAATGTTTAAGACTGAGTACATGTTGATTTTTTTGTATACGCGTATAATTTTTAACAAGCGGCCAATGAGGTTGATCGCGAGTTTCATGAAGTAAAGTCATGTTCTATACAATGTAATAATAATAGTGTAGTGTTAACTTCTTAGGAAATTTACAACATACTTAGGTTTTTTATATAGTCGTTGATCTATGGAAGACAATTAATACTTATCAAGACAAAGCAATACAAATAATTTTGTTAAAGATTTTAGAAATTTACCTCAAGAGGCACCTATACATAATAGGTTATTGTAAGCATAGTTATATAGCGAACCGAACTTTAATTAAAATAAATATATGTTTATATAACATACTGTGTTAATTTCAAACCTCGTACTGTTTATAAAGACATTTGTACATTACTAGTATGGTTGAATTGGGTAATGATGATTTTATGCAATTTCTATGCGATTCTAGGAAGAAATCTTCAATATATGGATGTTTTTCAGTTTAATCGTATGTAAAAAAATCGGTAAGTATTATATTAAGAATTGTAAACATGGATAAAATGAAGTACCTATAATTAATTATCTTTATTTAGCGTTTGCAAAACTGAGACAATGTAGTTTGAAAAATCAATTTTTAAACGATTTCCTCCTGACTTCATGTTTACAGCCACCTGTGACACTTTGGAAAAAGTCGGAGCTGAAAGAAATAAAACACATTAGTATAAGAGTATACAACTATCAAGTATATCACATATTTTTACAAGTAATTCCAATAATATACACAATGATCATACATAAGTTTATAGTCTCCATATCCTCTGGATCTTGCACGTTATTATAAAAGAGGACACACTGTTTGGCGGACAATTTTGGCTGTGAAACGAAGTAATTGTAAAGCAGTTCCATTTCTCTCCCTGCCGTGTCGATAGTATTCGACGAGCATACCAATATAACACCGTCTACTCCAGCACGAAGCGCTGGCCAACATGACTCAAACCTTTAAAAAGAAAAATCAAATTATTATCACCACTAATCATACACGAAGACAAGTTCTCCTAAACTATTTTGTTGGAACGATGTGTTTACATTGCCAACCGTATTTTGTGCCAATTCTGGTATTTTTTTATGATTCTGTAAATACTAAGATCAATATTTTTTATAGTACAAAGGTCAAAACCAGCGGTATTATAATTCGCTTAGTATTAAGTCTTACTAATAAATGGAAATGATGGGATGGATGGATGTTTGTTAGAAGGTATCTGAAGAACGGCTTAACAGATCACGATGAAATTTAGTATAGATGCAGAACTTAGTCTGAAAGACATATACATACTTTTTTTTTAATTCCGTGCAAATGAAGGCGCGGGCGACAGCTAGTTATTGATATATATGATGGCGAAAACTGCTCAACAGAAAATTAGATTATAAAAAACACATTACAAAAAAACTTGCCTATGATCACCACTGCAATCCCATAGTTCGATGTCTACGTTGTGACTTTTGCCATTTACAACTAAGTTGGAAAGTTCAAATTCAACTATTCGGACTCCTTGTGTCGGCCTTGTAACATCAACCTCCTCAATATTCACGGATTCAGATAAAAAGTTTGCTATTAAAGTTTTTCCACTCTGAAATAGAAACACGTGACCTTCGTTATTTCTATGTTTCACAACCGTTTATTTGCATGAATTGTTTAATCTAATGATTATTATAATTTTTCATTGTATTACTCTGATAATATTTAAAGGTTCTGGCACTATTCCTTTATTGCTATATCGTTACTTTATGACAGCAAAATCTCCGTATAAAACGTTTTTTCTCTTTTTTTTATCAAAGATAATAACGGTATGCTTTTACAGGGTTCCAGACACCAACAATTAATAACTAAAGTATTCGTTTAAATTTAAGCAATATCTATGCGATCGTAGTTAATCCTGTACCTTTGAAAACATTGGTATAAACTGCCTCATATATCCAGAATGTGTCTTGTTAGCCTTCAAAAAGGTAAGCAGTTTAGTATACATATGTTTTGTCTAGAGTTTAGGCTAGAAGTTCCAGGACATACATATGTACATACGTCGTGAATTCATCATCATTTATACGGTATGAGTAATAAGGTGGTGTTCAGGTATAGTTAACGTGAGCATTTATTTTTTGACTCAAAACGGGACATTGGTTTTTTTTCAGGTAATTAACTTGTAGTCAATGAATAATTTTTTTAACGTTCTTTCTGCAAATAATATCAGTAAGCTTTAGTTACAAATTTAGAAATACGTATAGCCGAAACGTTATATGTATTTATGTTTATCAGAGGATTTGCTTTTAAAAAAACGAGACAAATTTGGCATTCATGTCGGGGACACCGGGACTCGTAACTATAATATAAAAGGGACAGTCCCGTACAAAACGGGACGTCTGGTCACGTTAGGTTTCGTGTAAAGACGCTAGCGTTTTCATGTTCATCTTGGTTTCCTCTAAAGGAACTGGTGAAGGTACTAATACAAAAATAGCAAATAGCGATAAGTGAGTATTAATATACATACGTCGCTCGGGCCAATCATAATAATCTTTAATTTATTATGATGCATGACACAAGTATCACTGAATCACACGTTTATTAACGTATTAGTTCGTAAACAATAAACACGGCGTAGGGAATACGTAGTAAATGAAACTGAATGTCTATTTATATTAACAGGTATTCAAAATAATGTATTTTACACGAAAAGGAACTTCAACTTGTTTTGTTGTCGGTATAACTGTTGTCATGACAATGTTTGACCGGTGAAGTAGACACTTCGTTTCGAAGTAAACAACTGATCGAGTGGGTTTCCACTGCTGTGTCACTGGTTTATAATACTTATCATTGTCAAACCTCTCATCCTCTTTAAAAATATACACCAATACATAACCATATGTCAATGCAGTTGAGTTTTAAGGTAACACTTTGATCAACAGAGGTTGAATTATTAAAAGAGGTTGCTTATTTTAAAACAACTTAGTTCAGTTAAACAAGCACATAGAAATTGAATGTAATTTAATTGAATAAGATTACATTAAAAAAATGATAAAAAGCAAGGTCCCACCGAGATTTGAACTCGGATCGCTGGATTCAGAGTCCAGAGTGCTAACCATTACACCATGGGACCTGTGATAACGTGTCACGAATTATTGGAATATTTTATAAAAAAAAAATTGTATAATAAATTAATTTAAAATTTATTTCCAATGTCGTTACTTCACATTAAGATATCAAGTAACAATACAAATTTAAGTTTTAATAAGAAAAACTAATGCCAAACAAAGTTTACTTCCACTAGAAAAGTTTGGTTTGTATTAGACTTAATGAATTGCACAAGATGGCGCTGTATTAAATTATTTAAATGTAATGAATTTAGAATTCATTAAAAATCGCACCCCTTTTAAAAACAATGATGACCGTGAAAGAAAGGTTTAAAAAGTACAGCCAACAAAAATAGTTTGTACTAACCTACATTTTCATTAGGAGTTTATAATGCGGATAAAATGACGTAAGAAATGTTCCGTTATATAAAGCCGCGAAATAATTTGAAGATCATAAAAGAAATGATAAATATTTTTCCCTTCTATTATGTACACTTGATTACACAAGACTTGATAGCCTTATAATTTGTTGTTGATGGATGTTTCGGTCGTGATAATGGAGATGAAATTTAAACCGGCTTTTATTTAAAATAGATCGAGTCAATTTTAAACTTGAGCAACGTTTACTTTTAACTGACATTGTAAAAACTTTATCGATTCATGTTTTTTAACAGACTATCAATAATAAAAAAATAAATAAATTAATTGCATTTTATTCTCTCTTTGATATTTTAGGAAACTTCTGTTAATTATAAATAAGGTGTCACGATTATTTTTTTCTTAATTAAGTCCTTATTGCTGTTTACAGTGTGTCAGATGTATCTTAGAATATCGTGCATTTCTATAATAAGATTAGAGCTGGCCACTTCATTAGTATCCTTGTTTTACATTGAGCGTGACAGAGCAATAGAAACTGGTCTGATATGCAATCGTCGGCATCTACAGAGCGGTCAGGGCTGCTGATTGACATCGGCGTGGCGGCCAGCTCTCGACTCCACATCATTATTCATCCCTCAATAATAGACGAGTCATGTGAAATCGTAAGTGCATTTGTTAGAGAAGGAATATTTTGTCAAGAAATTCTACTTTCAAATGCAATATTATGTTTAATTTCAAAGTTAATTTGATCACGAATCGCTGTATGGATGGATGAATATTTGTTAAAAGGTATCTCCAGATTAAATGCATGAAAATACTTGAAATATGGCATAGATGTAGATGAAAGTCTGGAAGAACACATGGGCTATTAATTTTTTTTTAAGTACGTGACCAGTCTAAGTGACAGTACTTCGAACGTAAGGATAGGCATCTGATGTTGTTCGTGTCCTCTCCAAACAAACTTTAAATGTGGTGTTGCTCATATTCTTCGCCAGAATGTCATAGTCAATAAGTAGTAAATTAGATATATCATATAGCTTGTTTTAATTCGAGGATGTTCATCATGAAACTATACATTACAATCGTGTGGGATTGGATATCGTTAGTTAGTGGAACGTATTGTGGTAGACAATAAAACAATCTGCGAAAGTAGTAAAAATGAAGTACGCTTGTAAGTGGACAAATGAGGCTTGTCACATTGCGGTCAACAAGGCAATTCAATACGACAGTCAAGTATTAAATGCATATATAACTCTCCAACAATCACGGAACGATTCCTCATTGATGGTGACTTGTTTCTCATAACTCTGTTTTATTGTTTACTAAATATCGCCCGCGACTTCGTCCGCGTAAAATTAAAAACTTGATTAGTAGCCTATGTGTTCTTCAGGCTATGTTCTACATATGTGACTGTGTGTAGACGAGATTGTTAGAGTTAATTCAAGTAATTTTATTGCCATGATAATTACTTATCGACCACGTAAGGTTTGCTCTTCAAAAAAAAATATTTCTGACTTAAAACAACTGAATAAGTGTAGCTATCATGAAAGAGATAGACTAGACAATAGCTTTTAAAACAAAAAAAGAAAGATAATGAGAACCACAATTAATCATAGTGTTGCCATGTTTCAATTTAAATAATTGACATTTATTATAAAGTAAATGTTGGAAATAAAAGTATATTTTCTTAACGTACAAATGCTACATAATTGGACTGCCAGTTAGTATTAATGTCTGCCCGTAATGAAAGCAGACGGTAAACGCAGTTCTTGTCAAATTATTTGCGCTTGTTCCATTCGTTTTGTATATTTCTTATTTCTCATTCATATGCCATTCATTATCACATTTGTTGATTGTATCTTAAAACAAGATTAAACGATGTTTAACGAAATTAAATTTATTTTATTACGTTTACAAAAGTTAATGTCAATTTAAGTGTTGATACAATGAATAACAGACTATAATCAAAACAAATCAACCTTTTCTGTACTAATTTAATTACTAATCTTTATTTTTCGTCTTTGAGTACATATTTACTTTTTTATAATTTCAATACGATTAAATTTATACTGAATAATAACTTTATCTTAGCAAACTGAATAATCTTACTATCATATTAATATTATAAAATGCGAATGTTAAGATGGATGGATGTTTGTTACAAGGTATCTCCAGAACGGCTGTATAGATCTCGATAAAATTTGGCATAGATGTATAACGTAGTCCGTAAGAACATATAGACTACTAATTAAGTTTTTTTTAAAAATTCCACGCGGACAGAGTTGAGGGCGACAACTAGTTTTTCATAAGTGGCAAACCGTTTTAACTTCACTTGGGTAGATGTAGAAAACCTATACATAAGTGATATTGAATTCGAGTTTAAAAAGATTTTTAACTTCCAAATGGTGTTCACATGACTCGGTTGGTAATAATGAATTACTTTCCTGTAATGGTAATACCGATGCATCATAAAAAGGTTTTAATGACAGGCTTTTACCTCAGCATCCCGCGGCGCTGGTACAGGCAATAAATGAGTTTCGAGTCGCGCTTCGTCACACCACTTGAGTACTGATTGCTGTCATACTGAACTTTTTATAAGATCTGTCGGCAATGGGAATTATTTTTTAATGATAAATATTAAAAATAAATAAGAAATACGAGAAATTATGTAAGCACTTCGAACAACCATAATTTCTCAGCCGTTACTCATTTTGTGTGTGGTCACTCTAAGGATAATACGTATTTATTCCATCTGTGTGTCTTAATCAATTTTTAACGTTACATTTTTTGATCGAGTAGATTAATAACAATTTGAAAATACATCACATGTAAAATTGTAAATACAGTTGTCCTTCGTATGAGAGAGTTCGACCATTTCTCCACCAGCCTTTATAATCAATTTGTAAATTCCATCTCTTATTATATTTCTAAGACTGGACAAAGCTATGTGTACGAGCCTTAATTCGCATGGGTTAAAACATTAACGACGAAGTGAACCCGGAACTATTCTCTATCGTTTACTACCAGCATAAAGACGTTGCTTTTAGAATAAAACGAATTAACTGCTATTCGTTATCTTTTCTCAGGAAGGATGCTTAGTTATAGTTATATATAGGTACGAATAAATAACCTTATTTAAATGGGTAATAGTAATGATGAGGTTTTTTGATGTCTACGCATCAATGCTTATTTTGGTATATTTTGTGTTTTTAACACGCATTAGACTTACCTTAGTAAAGTTTTCATTTTCCTCAATTAGTCCAGACGAATTAAAATGTTTTCTATCAATGGTGTTAGATTTACGTTCTAAACAATTATTTGCATACAACTCGTGAGTTTACTTCTTTATTACAACAAGATTAATTTGACTAATTTTAAAATGCGATTGTTTAGATGGATGGATTGATAGATGTTTGTTTGAAGATATCTCCGGAACGGATCAAGGGATCTTGCTGAAATATGGCATAGATATAGAACATAGTCTGGAAGAACACATAGGCTATTTATTAAGTTTTTTTTTAATTACACGCAGATGGAATTGCGGGCAACCGCTATATAATAATAAAACAAAATACAAAAGCAATAGGATACTTCCACAACGACACAAGAGCATTGATTTACGAAGCGAACATCGATACATCGATATCGGCTAATCGCGTATCGCTCTCATGTAACCATACAATGCTCAATAAACTCGGCTATCTGATGCCGTAAATGAATCAGAGCAACAGCGGTGGCTGAATAAATACCGGCGATGCGTTGTTGCGAACAATATATTGCTTGTATTGTGCCGTTCGCACTTTATAAAATGTGTTTAGTAACGTGTGCTCTTAATATATCTATCCACTGAACATGTAAGATTAATAACTATATCTTATATATAAAATTCTCGTGTCACATTTTTTGTTCCCATACTCCTCCGAAACGGCTTGACTTTTCTTTTCCTCATGAAATTTTGTGAGAATATTGAGTAGGTCTGAGAATCGGCCAACATCTATTTTTAATCCCGCGCGAACAGAGTCGCGGGCGACAGCTAGTTATTCATAGCAATTGCCCACGACTTCGTCATGAAGTAGACAGTAATATTCCCGATTATATCAGCTGCCTTCCAATGGAAGTCCCGTCAAAATCAGTCAAGCAGTTCCCGAGATTAGCTGAATCAAATGCGGCTTCGTGGACAGACAAACAACTAGAAAAAACTTCATAATTTAGTTTCCCATTATAAGCATTGCTAATACATCAAGTTTGTGAATTATGATTTTTTTTCATATTACAAACATACGCTC